AGGTTGGTAGTAGTAGAGGTAGTAGTAGAGGTAGTAGTAGAGGTAGTAGTAGTAGTAGTAGTAGTAGTAGTAGTAGTAGTAGTACTAGTAGTAGTCGTAGTAGTAGTAGTAGTAGTAGTAATAATAATAATAAGAAGAATAGTAGTAATAATAATAATAATAGTAACAATAATAATTTATGGTAGTAGGAGTTGCGGCATCAGAATAGTATTAGCACGTAATTACATGCAGCTACACTGGTTGCATGTATTTATGTGTGAGACATAATTATATTCCATGGCACAACCTCATCACCATCCGGCTGCCAATGCGGCCGTCTCGAGCTTGAAGTAGTGTGCATGGTCCTGATAGCTTTCGTGGTTTCTGTTGTGCGAGCTTAGAGTTTGCAAGGAACGATAGGTGGGTTTGAGAATCTTGAAGTATTGCTGCCGGGGTTAGTGTGGGTGTAGTACCTAGTAAGGCTGGGGTTCCGGGCAGGGAAGGATTCTTGCCGAACAACGACGCCCTAAACCCTAAACCCAAAACCCTAAACCCTAAACCCTAAACCCCTTCCTCTAGTCTAGTGTTTCTCGTCGTTTCGAGGACATCGCGGGTTTTGGGCAACTTTTAGGCTTTATGTTGGTTTTTTGTGCTTTTTAGATTTTTTCCAGGCCCCAGATTTGAGGCGTATTTACCCGGGTTTGAGGCGTATTTACCCGGGTTTGAGGCGTATTTACCCGGACGCCGTTTTTCGGCCTACTTTTGTAGCTACTGGCAAGCTCAAAAAGCCCTAAAACCTTAAATCCGCAACCCTAAAAAGCCGAAGTGGTGTAGGTTTTTGGCTCTTAGAGCACAGGAGGCCTTTTGACAGGTCCAGGGTCAGGATGAGCCAATACTTAGAGAACGATGATGTGTATGCCGAGCTGTTGAGAGAGAAAGAACGACTTCTCGTATCCAGGCTGCAGGAACAGATCGCTCTCCACGATTAAAAGCATTTGCCCTCCCCCGACATTCTCCCTTATAATTCTTCTGCCAAAGCCTAGGCAGCCGAGCAAAAGAAGACCGATGTGGTGGGAGATGGAAAGGGGAGCCGTGCCAGGCCCCGCAGCAAGGCCGCCGAGTTCGCAGAAACCCTGGTGGTCAGTCCGGGTTCTGGGGGCACCCCTGAGCCGAAAAAGACAAAGCACTCCGATGGGAATCAGTGGGACCCTTCTCTCACTGGTTCGCAAATCCCGTCCGAGGACTGAGTGCTCGCATCGTCGTCGTTACTTTGTTAGGCGGTCCTTGTTCTCAAGCAAATCAGCAAGCAAGCCAGAAGCCCCACAGGAGCCCATCGCCGCCGTGACCCCACGCCAGCTGTTCGCCTCGCCCGATGTTCACATGCCAGACCCCTCGGACAACGAAGACCGTGGCGAGCCGAAGACACCGCAGACCGTGCCAGAGCCCGGGTACCAGCCCAAGGCAAACCGCAAGGACCAGGAGAAGCAGCCTAGATTGTCCGACGCCAAACCCGCCGAGAAGCAGCAGCAGCCCACCGCCGTGCCGCAGACCAAACCGACCCACGAGAAGCAGGAGAAGACCGCCGTGCCGCAGACCGAACCGACCCACGAGAAGCAGGAGAAGGCCGCCGCCGTGCCGCAGACCGAACCGACCCACGAGGAGCAGGAGAAGGGCACCGACTTGCCGCAGACCGCACCGACGCACAAGAAGCAGGAGGAGCCCGCCACCGTTCCGCAGACCGAACCGAACCACAAAAAGCAGGAGAAGGGGGACTCCTCGCAAGCAGGCGGGAATGACGGCAACGAGTCGGACGACGATGCTGATGCTGTGGCCCCCCAGAAGGAGCCGCCCAAGCAGCTCACAAGGGGGGCCGTGGACAAGCGGCTTCGCAGAGTGATGGCTCCAAGAGTTGATGGATCGTATCAGGTGCCGGAGGCCGTGATCCTGCAGTGGAAGAGCAAGGACACCAAGAAGGACGTCGAACTTTTATTCGAGAAAGCAGCCTACGACCCCGAGCCACGGCCGAATGCTGTGTTGAGAAAACATAGTGCCTTGTCATGTCGAGTCTCCCTCCAAACCACTGGCTTAGGCGACATTCGTACGGAAGGTGCGAAAAATTTACCAGAAAATCGAAGAAGAATCCTTCACTACAGAGTACCAGTTCGTCAGCGAAGACGACATGATTGCTATGAACTGGAGTGAGCCACATAGCTGAACTTATACGAGTGTGAAGATCTACACTATTTCAGTCTATGGTATTCTTTTGCTACTCCAGGAAGAAGATCAAGGGGGTCAAGGAGTACTGCAAGGATCGCCCTGGATTTCGCAGGCCTCGCTCCCGAAGCCGCCATGATTGTGAGATCACCTTGGTTGTTGAAGGGCAATTCTTGGGGGGCAGGTGTTGTGTGTAGACCGCCGCCCAACAACAACAACAACAACAACAGCAGCAGCAACAGCAGCAGCAACGGCAACAACACCACCACCACCACCACCACCAACAACAACAACAACCACAACAACCACAACAGCCACAACAACCACAACAACCACCACAACAACAACAACAACAACAACAACAACAACAACAACAACAACCACACCAACCGCACCAACCACACCAACCACAACAACCACAACAACCATAACAGCACCAACCACAACAACCACAACAACCACAACCACAACAACCGCAACAACCACAACAACCCAACAACAACAACAACAACA